CTTCACAAGCCTATTTGGATTTTCTTAGCAAAGATGCTAGAATGGTTTGCCATTTCCTTCTCCAGCTCATTTTACAGATGAGGAAACTGAGGCAAACAAGGTCAAGTGACTTGCTCAGGGTCATATGGCTAAGTATGTATCTGAGGCCAGACTTGAACTCAGGAATATGAGTCCTCCTGATGCCAGTTCTGGTGCTCTATCCACTGTGCCACCTAGCCACCCTAAGTCAATTTTCACAAAACAAATAAAATCTATCCAAGCATCCTAAAGGAAAGCTAACCTAAAATGGATTGAGTTGTCATAGGTGGTTGTGGGTGTTTTGTCCATGGAGGTCTTCAGATAAAGCTTGGTTGAATGATCACATATGGGTGCTGTAAAGTGGATTTTTGTTCAGGTATGGGATAAGCTGGAGGGCTTTTAAAGTTCCTTCTGACTCTGAGATTGTGTGATTTTCTGAAATAAACTAGTGTGTGAAAAGTGTTTTAGCAACTATCTAAATGTAAACTATTATTTTTAGTTGATTAAATTAAGATGTACATTTAATTAAAATTTTTCAGATAAAGAAAATCTGCCTTCTTTCCTAATTTTTCTTCCCCCAGTCGTTAAAACAAACAAAGAAACCCTTGTAATAAACATGTAATGAAGGTCTGTATCTTAAGGAGGTAGAAATGGGAATGAAGAGGAGTGTCTTCAAAGGATATTGTGGAGGTGGAATCAACATGACAGGTAACTGGAAATAATAATAATGATAGCTAGCATTTATATGGCACTTAATGTTTGTGAAGTGCCTTACATGTGTTATCTCCTGTAATCTTCCAAAAAAACCTCCTTCAAGATAAATGCTTTCATTATCACTCTTTGGCCTCACTGCATTTGCCCACACAACTTCCTATATCATAAACATCCTCCCTACCTCTTTGCCATTATTTAAAGCCTAACTCAAATGGTTAATCTCCTAAAGATCCTTCCTTGATTTTCCAACCTCAGTCAAGAGCTGCAAATCTCATATAATCCTCCCTTTTTTATTTAATCCTTAAATGCACCAATCTAGTAATTTTATGTATTTGTTAAACTCTGTGTGTGTGTGTGTGTGTGTGTGTGTGTGTATGCCTGCCTAATCTACCTTCTACACTCCAAGATCCATTAGAGTAGAGAGCATGTTTTTATCAAAATTGTATAACTTCTTTGGAATTTAGGATCTTCTTAAGAGTTTAGGATAAACATTTTAGGATGGTATAGCAGAAGGAACATTGACTCTGCAGAAGACCAGAGTTTATAACCTGCTTCTGATGCTTACTACCATTGTGACCTTGGGCAAGTCACTTAAACACACTAGGTTTCCTCATGTGTAAAATGAGAAGGTGGACTAGATGGTTTTTTTAAAAAAATATTTATTTTTAGTTTTCAGCATTCACTTCCATAAGATTTTGAGTTCTAAATTTTCTCTCCCTTCCCCCATCCCTTTCCCCAAGATGGCATGCAATTTGATATAGGCTCTACATATAACATTCATATTAAACATTTTCACATTAGTCATGTTATAAAGAAGAATTAGAATCAATGGGAGGAACCACGAGAAAGAAGGAAAAAAAAAGAGAGATAGAGAGCAAATAGTATGCTTTGATCTGCATTCAGACTCCATAGTTCTCTGGATGTGGATAGCATTTTTCATCATGAGTCTTTTGGAGTTGTCTTAGATTCTTGTATTGCTGAGAAGAGCTAAGTGACTAGATGGCTTTTATATATATGTATTTTAGTTTTCAGCATTCACTTTCATAAGATTTTGAGTTCTAAATTTTCTCCCCTTTCCCCCATTCCCTTCCCTAAGATGGCTCACAATCTGATATAGGCTCTACATATACATTCATACTAAACATTTTTACATTAGTCATATCATAAAGAAGAATTAGAATCAGTGGGAGGAAACATGAGAAAGAAGAAATGAGAGAGAGAGAGAGAGAGAGAGAGAGAGAGAGAGAGAGAGAGAGAGAGAGAGAGAGAGAGAGAGCAAATAGTGTGCTTTGATCTGCATTCAAACTTCATAGCTCTTTCTCTGGATGTGGATAGCAGTTTCCATCATGAGACCTTCGGAGATGTCTTAGATCCTTGCATTGCTGAAAAGGGCTAAGTGGCTACATGGCTTTTGAGGCTCCTTTCAGCTCTATGTCCATGAGCCTATAAATTCACTGCCTTGTACGCAGTAGGCATTTAATCCATCGAATGAATTATTCTAAATACCAGCTTGATGTTTTCCAATACTGTGGAATCAACTTTATAAGATCATATAACAGGTCATAACAAGTCAAGATTCAATTTGTCTCATGGCTTAGTCAGTTGCTCTTTCTCCTCTGCTCCTAGACACTAATACCTTCGTCCATTTTCTCCAACTTCTCTTTAAAAAGGTTTGTTAAGGTATTCTCTATCAGTTTCATTTTTCTGCCATCAAGTAGATATCTTGCTATGTTCCTGGGATAAGTAAATTTTCGGTATCACCTCTTTTCTGTTAAGGTTAAATCACTGGCCAATTTAGCACTGCTTTTTAAGAAACCTCCTCACTGACAAATAGCTTGACTTCAGTTTCTCTTTAATAATAGAAGTCATGTATTACATGAGGCTAAAATTTTAGAAAATGAAGTTTGAGAACTGCTGTCCAAGTGACCTTTAACATATTAGGAAGCACCAAACTGACCAAGCCACAGCTCATTGATTTTGGTATTTTTTCAATATCATGGCCAATATCCAGAAGATTGCTCATTTCCAGATGACCCTTTCTAGGTCAGGGAATCATAGGAACATTCAAAATGACTACTGGCTCTAACATAAGTAAATCAAAAAAAGAAACCTAAGTAACCAGTTCTATTGATTTTCTTTGTCTTTCAAACTCCTTAAAGACTAGTTCTTAAAGCCTGAATTTTTGTACATTCTTTGTTTTGTTCATTGCTTATCTTAAGTAAGTGATAAATTGAAGAAACTGAGACTAACAGAAATTAAGTGACCTATGATCGCCCAATGAGTTAGCTGAGACTAGAATCCAAGCAACTGATATGATGTTCATACATATTCCTCTTTCAAAATATATTGATATAACATCTAGTTTTGAAGGTCCTGGAATGATTACTTTAACTTGAGTGAGACTCATCTGACAATTCATAGTGTCCTCAATCAGGAAATATACCACTCCATCTGATCATTTGCTCTTTCATTCATTCAACAAACATTAACAAAGAGCTTACTATGAGAAAAACACTGTGCTATGGATTAAGAGGGCTCTGAAACAGAACTGGACATTATTCTTTCCCTCAAAAACCTAATAGCATAATGTTAGGAATAAGATACACATGTAACTAGCCATAATAAAAAGTGAGTTACGATAGGTGCATAAGGCCAGCTCAAACCTGGAATATGTATCTCTTTGCACACACGTATACACACGTACGCATTTATATGTATGTGCAATGTATGTAGGCACGTGTGTACATGCACTGTACATCTGCATGTATATACACATATATGTTCATGCATGTATATGTGAACGCACTGTATATGGGCACTATATCTACATGTATATACAAATACACGTGCATGTAGGTATACACATGTATGTATCAATATATGCGTGTATGTGTGTGTGTATATATATATATATAAATATATAAATATTATACATATTATATATATATATGTATATGTATATTCATAGATATTCCATACCATGAAAGCCGATCAAAATTGATTAACCATGGCATGGTTAGTCTGGCATTTTCAACTATCTTAATGATTAATTGTGTAGCAACTATGTCAATAATTCTATGAGCTAATTTGGGCTTTAAGGTGGCCTGAATATTATGATTTATTCTATCATTGTCCCACTATTTGGCTTGTATAAGCCAGACTCATTGAGTGTTTAGAGGTCTAATGCAAAGTATGTATCCAGATATTTCCCAGGTGAGTGCATGGAAGCAATTCATTCAAAACATAACACTGCCAGTGATATATGTGAAGCTGCTATTAACCTAAAGCATGAGTGATTTATTGCTCACATTTATTACTAATAGAGTAACTATGCAATTCCCATTACAATTTCTTTAGGTCCCAAATTATGAGGTCAGTATTTTTGAAACAATTTGGGGGCATAGCTTGTTATAGCCTCTTCACAAAAGAATGAAAAATTGTTTGGGGGTATTTGGGGTTGGGAAATAGCTCTGACTATTCAGACTCACAATTTGCACACATTATAGAACATTCAACATCATCTCATAAAAGCTGAGAATAACAAATGCACCAAAGAAGACTCTGGGTCTCAAAATTTCTAAAATCTAATGATTATCAAGAAGAGGATAATGTTGTAGTTGTTAGCGACTGTTTCAGTTAACGAAATACCTTTTAAAACCTCTTTGATGCCATAAAATTCTTCATCTGATAGGAGGCTCCAAGAATTTTTCCACCATGGTTTCTCTTCAATACCTGAAGATAAATATCTCCCAGTGGCCCTGAAACAATACTTGTCATGTTTGTCATTCATGAAGCTGACTCATACATAAATTAGGTTTTCCTAAACTGCTGATAGGAATTAAGGTCCCATGAAAAGTGCTATTACTAACACACACTGCTAGTGTGTTCGTATCAGTTCAATTGTTTTAATGATAAATTTCCCTTAGAAAATGGAAGGATCTGTTGACAGACAGAAACAGGAACTAACAATGGGCTATTTAGACTTGCAAATGATGGAACATTTAATTATTCCAAAATAGCATTCCCCAGTTAAGGTATGATCATTAAATCCATCATCTTTCAGTTTATATGCATGAAACATTTATCATGTCGCCCACAAACAGGAGTCAGTCATCTAAATATAGATTTGGGGACCATCCATTTCATCATGACATTTCATCGAAAGCTGAGAATTTCATTTATTTTCTGTAACAGAGATAAAGTGTTTGGAAATGATGTGATAAGACCATAGACAGAAAGGGAAGTGAAAGTCAGCTTGGTACAGAGATAAATACAGAACCTCCCGAGGACATCCAGGCTGCAGAAAGAGGAAAACAAGATGTGGTATGTCATCAACAACATTCAAGGTAAGTGATTCGCTGCAGATATTTTGGCCAAAATTTATGACTGCTTTTAATGTATTAGAATTTGTTTGTTAAAGGTTATGGTAATGGCCAAAATTAGAAGGAAAACAGGAAACTAAGAAAAAAATTTACACCAAGTTTCTCTGATAAAGACCTCATTTTTCAAATATATAGGGAAGTGAGCCAACTTTATAAAAAATAGTAGCCATGATCCAATTGATATATATAGTCAAAGGATATTAATTGGCAGTTTTTAGAAGAAGAAATCAAAGCTATCAATAATCACATAAAAATGCTCTAAACACTATTGATTAGAGAACTGCAAATTAAAACAACTCCAACAACTCATGGCTAACATGATGAAAAAAGGAAAATGACAAATGCTGGAGGGAATGTGGAAAAAATGAGACACTAATGCCCTATTGATGGAGTTGTGAACTGATGCAACAATTCTGCAGAGCAACTGTGAACTATGCCCAAAGGGCTATAAAATCATGCATACCCTTTGACATCCTAATACCACTACTAGGTCTGTATTCCTAAGAGACCAAAGAAGGGGAAATGACCTACATGCACAAAAATATTTATAACAGCTCTTTTTGTGGTGGCAAAAAAATTGAAATCAAGGGGATGCCCATCTATTGAGGAATAAAAGGACAAGTTGTAGTATATGATTGTGATGGAATACTATCATTCTATAAGAAATGATGAGCAGGATGGTTTCAGAAAAACCTGGAAAGGCTTATATGAACTGATGCAAAGTGAAGTGAGCAGAACCAGGAGAACATTGTTCACAGTAACAGCAATATTGTATGATGATCTACTGTGAAAGATAGCTATTTCAATCAAGACAATGATTTGAGATAATTCCAAAGGGCCCATGTTGAAAAATGCTATTTACCTCCAGAGAGAAAACTGATAAACTCTGAGTGTATATTGAACCACACTTTTTTAAACTTTCTTTATTTTTCTTGTTCTGTGTATACATTTGTGTTTTCTTCTGCAACATGGCTAATATGGATATACTTTTTGTATGACTTCACGTGTATAACCAATATCATATTGCCTGCCTTCTCAAGGGGTAGGGAAAGGGCAGGAGCAAAAGAGAGAATTTGGAACTTTAGATTTTTATGAAAGAATGGTAAAAGTTTTTTTTTTAATACATAATTGGCAGATCTTTAATGAAATAAATAGAAATGTATTTAAAAAATAAAGATTATGGTGAGAAGCATGGTTTAGTGGAAAGAACATTGGATTGAAATCAGGGAATCTGGGTTCTGGCATCAACCTTGCCACTAACTTTGGACAAGTTATTTCATTTCATTAGGTCTTATTTTCCTCATTGGTCAAACGGGATGTTTGGATTAAATAGTCTCTACAATGCCTTCCCACTCCAGCTTTCTATGTTTCTACATTTAAATTCATGGCAGAATTAGCATGAAGACAAAGTTCAGATAAGTGGATGTCACTAGCTTAAATGTACATATCATTTTACTTTTTGTTGGTTGACTGACCATGCTCATTAATTCTCAATCACTAAAAATTAACAGTCTCTAGGTATTATTAATGAGTGTTAAGACATGGCTCATTCAAGATATATTTGGCTCAGAAAGAAATGCCTTACAAAATCTGGTTTTTCTTTTTGCAAAGTGTCTGCACCCATGACTTATCCCAGCTACAGATGTAGTTGATGTTCAGGGGTACTAGGTTAAATTAAATCCTTGAGATAAGACACTTCAGAAAGTGTCTTCCTATTGTTTGTTGAAAAGTGAAAAATGAATCTTTGGCAGAATATGGCCTTATCTTCCTTGGATAGACCTCCTTCTCGTACAGGAGCTAACTGAAATGTTAATGCCGTGCTAACATCCTTTCTTAAGGTGACATACATAAGCCAGTCCTAGAACTATAGAATATTAGAGTTGTGAAAAATCTAGCCCAGGGGTTCTTAACCTGGGGTGTATGAACTTTTTAAATACTGGATTTTCAAGATAATTGGTTTCCTTTCCAATCCTCTATTTTATTTTATGCATTTAAACACATTATCCTGAGATAGAGTCCAAGGTTTTCACAAGCCTTCCAAAACAGTCCATGACACAAAAAAAATGGTTAAGAAGCCCTGGGCTAGTACAGCCTCCTCATTTGACAGATGAGATAGAAGAGGAAAAGGATTACTTAAACTTCCAAGAGCTAGGAATACAAGCCATGGCTCTTGAGACTCAGGGGTGTGTTTGTGCATGTGTGTGTGTGTGTGTGTGTGTGCCTCTGTGTATACGTGCGCATGTGTGCACATGTGCTTCTGTGGCATACCTACAAGTTATATCAAGTTCTTAGGATTACCAAGAGCTTCATATAAATCATTTCATTTGATTCTCACCTGAGCCCTGTGAGGTGGGTATTTCAGGCATTATTATCCCTATTTTACAGATGAGGAAACTGAGGTTCCAAAAGGTTAAATCAACTTGCCCAATGGTCAAATAGCTACCAAATGTCTGAGGCAGGATCCAAACTGAGGTCTTGCTGACTCTAGCCTCCCATTAGGGCCCATAGAATGCCCACTGCTAAGGCAAAAAGCAGGCTGAGCAGCGACCTCTTTGCCGCTGAGCTTTTCTTGCTGACCCAGAATAGAAGCTCAGTGTCACTGCTCGCAAAGGCTTTAGACTTTGGATCCTCGTGCTGAGGGAGTTTTTGTGGGTTCATTTTTTTCAGAGTCAGAACTTTGCATCTCTTCTTCATGACTGTAGTCCGTGCCGACACATGAGCCTTTCCAGGATCCCCAGTGTGCTCTTTAGACTCACGAGGCCTTCATGGTTTATGTCCAGTATAAAATAATGAGGCAAGACAACTTTCCAAAACTGTTGATCTGAATTGAGGAACAGATTTCTAATATTGGGAGAGCTGAATATCCATTGCCATGGTCCCAGTGGAGAATCTACTAACGTGGGACCCACAGTGCCTGGTCCGCTCTGTCTTAGGAGATCAAAGGTCACTGGATTATCCCATCTTCATATTTTGACTTTGTAGGACTTGTCTGCATCTGAGCTGGTGAAAAGTAGAGGACAAGAAACTTTCTTCTTCTTCCTCAAAGTCTTTAATAAACTCCATGGAGCCTTCTCTAAACCAAGGAACCCATGGTTATCTATTCCCTCCTCTGGACTTACAAGCCATTCCTATTAATGCTTCTTATCTTGATCTGTTACCATACATAGCCTTGGGTTATTATCTTAAGTGTTTTATGTCTGTCTTCCCTCTTATCTCCCCAAATAGATTGTAAGTTTCTTGAGGACGCCATACTTTATGCTGATGCTGCACCCTCTGTAGTGCCAGACATGGATTAAGCATTTATTAAGTCTTTTTTGAATTGCATATAACCTGAGTGAGTAGTGGAGTAGGATAATGTAGCCTTCCCTTTTAATGTTGCATCTCTTGGAGTAAAATGTCTAGTAAAGACTTTTTTAAAAGCCAGCTCATTAGTCTCCAAATAGAAGCTAGGGTGAGCATTTCTGATGGCCCCAGTCTCTCTCAAATTCTCCTCCATCTTTCTCTAAGTTGGTATCTCATTTTCTGCTCTGCATTTCAAAGGGTCAGTCAAGTCAACAAACATTTATTGAATGCCCACGATTTGCTAGACACACTACTGAGCACTGGGGATGCAAAGAAGGGCAGAAACAACCCCTACGCTCAAAGAGCTTGAAATCTAATGGAGGAGACAAAATGAAACCAACTATGTGCAATATGTACATACAGAAACCTCTCTGTACACAAATATACACATACATGCATGCATGCATACACAGTAAAGACAGGAAAGGTTATACGTATTACTAACAATATATATTCCACTGCTACTAATATATATATACACACACACATACATATAACATATGTGTATGTATTTATATATGTGACATATTAGAAAAAAGCATAATCAGTGGAGGGAAAGCAATAACATTGAGGAGGATCAGAAACATATATACAGGAACATATATACATGCACATCTATATATGTATGTATCTACCTATATGCACTTATATATACTATACATATAGACATATATATATATATACATATACATACATATACAGACACTAATATTTGTATCTACAAGATATATTGGAGATAACCATAACTAATACAGGGAAAGCAGTAAGATTAAGAAGGGCCAGAATTACATGTATGTGGGTACACATACATATCCACGTCTATGTATGCATACGTACATAGTACCTATCTACATACATACACATATACATACATACTAATTTATACTACATATATGTGCACTAATATTTATTTCTACTAGAGATAACGATAACCAATAGAGGGAAAGCAGTAACATTCAGGAGTACTAGAAAAGACTTCCTGCCAAAGGCAAGATTTTATCTGAGCCAGGAGGCAGAGGTGAGGAGGTAAAGAATTCTAGGCAGGGCAGAAAGTGGGACGATGCATGGAACAGTAAGGTGAAAGAAGACACAAAGGGTAGGTTGGAGGCAGGTTGTGAAGTGCATTAAAACAGATGTTATATTTGAACCTGGAAGTGACAAAGAGCCACTCAAACTTCTCATATGTGTTGGTGTATGAGAAAAGAGAGGAAAAATAAAGTGGCATCCTTGTGTTGACAACATACAAGATACAATAACAATTTGTATGTAGCTTTAAGATTTGTAAAGTACTCTACATAAATTACCTCATGCGATCTCCACATCTGTCTGTGTGACCCCAGGCAAGTCACTTCACTGCTGTCTGCCTCAGTTTCCTCAACTGTAAAGTGGAAATAATAGCACAGGGTCATTATGAGAATCAAATGAGATAATGTCTATCAGGCATTTAGCACAGTGCTTGGCATATAAGAGGTGCTTAATAAATGCTTGTTCCCCCCCCCCAATTGATTGCTGCAGCAGAGGAAAGGAAGAGAATAGGAATAGTTTTCTCCCTTACTAGGGAAATTGAAATCAACCCAGATTGAATGAGCACCTAGATACCATGGTATCTGGCAGTCTAATAA